AAGACCCAAGTAAAGAGTTTAAAAATATTTGTACAGTCTATGTTGATGATATAATAGTCTTCAGCAAAACTGAACAAGATCATTATGTACATGTAATCCGTGTACTTGAACAATGTCTCAAAGAAGGAATAATACTCTCTGAGAAAAAAGCAAAGATTGCCCAAACCAAGATTAATTTCTTAGGTTTAGAAATAGAAAATGGGAGTTTAACTATGCAACCGCATATTATGACCAAAATATCTGAATTTCCCTCAGAAATAAAAGATAAGAAACAACTTCAAAGGTTTCTTGGAATATTAAACTATGTAGAAGGATATGTAGCCAATCTGGCAGAAATACGAAAACCTCTACAAGTAAAATTGAAAAAAGATGTAGAATTCATCTGGTTACCAAGTGATACATTGTATGTAGATAAGATAAAAAGAAAACTCAAAATCTTACCAACTTTATATCATCCACAAGAAGATGATTTCATGATCTTAGAAACAGATGCCTCTAATACATACTGGAGTGCAGTTTTAAAAGCGAAACCAGTAGACTCTACTATAGAGAAACTGTGTAGATATACGTCAGGAACTTTTAAAAGTGCTGAAAACAACTATCACAGTAATGAGAAAGAATGGCTTGCAGTTCTACGAGGCATTCAAAAATTTAAAATTTATCTCATCTCTAAAAAATTCTTAGTAAGAACTGACAATAAAAACTTCAGTTATTTTGTTAAAAATGAATTCAAAGGAGATTATAAACAAGGTAGATTAATTAGGTGGCAATTACACTTAAAACACTACCAGTTTGATGTTGAATACATAAAAGGTGATAAAAATTGTCTTGCAGACTGTTTAACTCGTGAATTTGCAGGTGCAAACTGAACAGGTACCAATTAAACAATTATCAAGAAAAAGATCAAGAATGGATTTACAGATCGAAGAACTCGAGCTGGAAATACTTCAGAAACAGCATGAACTTGAGATCCTTCAGAAAAAGCTCAAGATCGTAAAACTAAAGGCAGAATCTGAGAAATCAATTCAGAAGCCCCAACAAACAGAGGCCAATACACAGTATAAAGACGCCTTGATCAAACCCGAATTTCCGGGTAAAATAGAAACAGAAACTGAAAGGTTTTCTGAAGATGAAAGAACCAAGAATTGGTTTGTAGTTCATACAGGACCTAAAATTGGTGTCTATCAAGACTACCAAAAAGTAAAAGAATTGCCAGATTCCTACTATCATGTAGCGAAATCTGAATTCGAAGCTAAAAATATCCTTGAAAAAATTAAGGGTAAATTTAAAGAAAGAACAACTGTTTTCTATAAAATGGGAGTTTTCAACGGAAACAAAATATTGAACCAAATTTCTGGGGAGTTCAATAAATTTGAAATAAACAGTTCTTTATTAAAACTAACTGTTACAAAAGAAGAATGGTATACTCTATTTGAGGAATTAAACGCTAGTACATTAGAACAGGGTTTAGTCCCAATTTCTAAAAACCAGCAATTAAAAGCCATTCTGTATCCTGGATTGGGATCAGAAAAAGTTAGAGACATGTTATTAGGAGGATTTGTGGATTTGCTATATCCTGATAACAAATTGTTGGAATTACAATACTTTCCCAAGCTTAAACAGGCCACAGGTTTGTATATGGAAAAATGCAAGATATTGCAAAACCAAAAAAGTATTTACTTCAAGGTTTGCAGTACAATTCCTGACTGGGAAAACGAAAAACAATTCCCCGGGTATCATTTTATCCAAATGGGAATTTGTGGAGAGGTTCGACCTCCAAATGTTCTAATCCAAGAACTGAAAAGTCCGTCTGAAGATGAATTAAAACTGGAAAGGAGTGATTCTTATTACTCCTTAATAAAGACTTTGGACAAGTTCACGGCAGCCAGTAAAATCAAGGTGAATTTCTGCAGCGAAGAATTTCTGCTAATCAGTAATTTCACAAAGAAGGTTGATCGTCGAGACTGGGCGATTATCGAAAATTGGAAGAACTCTCTTATCAATAAAACCAGATGCAGTGAAGAAACACATTCCCTATTGAATGCAGTACAAGCAACGATTGATGAAGAAAAAGAGAAAAGTCAAAAGAAGAAGCTAGAAGACAATAATGCTCGACAGCATGAACCCAGCACTAAGAAAGAAGAGTCGGCACAAGTGGAAGACATCAAAGCTGACCCCACCATGATCTGAAAGGCTGAGTCAGGGCCAGGTTGGAGCCTTATCCACTCACCACAATGTAATGCCGCGTGCCTTACATTATTAAGCCGTATTATGAAAGGCACTAATAAGTGAGAGCTGACTCATCAACAGCTATGTATTACTTTTTATGGGCCATGTGCCATTATGGTTGTGGGGATCTTTTCGTCTCTTAGTTGTTAAGTTATGAAGTCCATATAAGAGTGACCTCCGATATGTGGTAAGGCATTCTTATTTCGGAACATGAACAATCTTATGTTCTCCTCTCCCTTGTAATCTTTTCTCAAGAAATAAGATAAAAATTTTTATAAAATTGTCCTTACACTAAGAAAAGAAAAAGAGAACCTTTAAGGTTCCAAAACTTAGAACATCAAGATCTAAACCCAGGTCCAGTAAGGGTCAGAAAGAAACCAAAGGCAACAGCCTGCATAATCTCTGGAGTTCCTGGAGGCTAAAGCTCGACGGAATAAGTCCCGGTGGTGGCAGTAAAGCGTCTTGAAGCATAGCTTGGAATTGAGATAAAAATGCAGTGGCGAAAGTTAGCCGTGGTGGACCCATCAACAGAACAAACTGGAAGGAAAGGGTATTGATGCCCAGGAACAGATAAACTTCAGAAGAAGTCAGGTATGACAATTCTAAAACCTTTAGAATAAATGGAAGAAATTTTTGAAATTTCAAAAAATATATGTAAAAAACCAGTTCAACTAGATATTTATTCAAATATAAAATATTTGGAACATAAGCTTTTGGAGAAAATGAAAAAAGAAGCTATTGAAAAATTAGAAGAACTTCTTACAGGAAATTCCTGTATTGAAGAAGACATTAGGATGTATAAAAACTGTGATTGTCATTATGGTGATATATATCCCGGAATTAAAAAACAAAATGAAAAGCTCAAAGCTACAATACAGTTTCTGAAAGAAACAAAGTTTGGACGCTAACCGAAGCGAGAATCGGACAAATATTAGGAGCACTTTCCTTATATTTCCGCAGAAAAGAAACTAAGGTCTCAGAAAATGAGTTTGAAAAACTCTAAAAGGAAGGTACCCCTATAAACTGGTATCAGAGCCTGGTAGCAGGCAAAAATACTAAACTAAAATGCCAGGAATAGGCTGGTTAAATGCCTTCTTAGCCAGAAGAAAAACTATAGAAAAAATAATTGACGAAATGGAAAATAGGATAACTCTTTCTGGAAGAGAAAATATTGAATTACAGTGGTATAAAGAAAAAATTAAAAATTTAAATATAGGAATACAAATCCTAGAAAATAATGCTAGAACTAACTCTAGAGTAGAAGAAGAATTCTTTACACAATGTTTAGATCCTTGGAGGTACAGAGAATAATTAAATGGAAAATAATCAATTAGATTATTTCTCAAAACAAGAAACGTCAGGATATTTCGTAGAAGCCCTGATAGATGCTAAAAAACTTGGAAAAGTTGAACACGATTTAAATAAAGAACACAATTTCTCAAAAGAAAAAGTGTTTAAAAGGATTAATAACTTAATCCTAAGAAAAAATGAAATATTCTTTGGTATTATTGCTGGAGAAGAAGCAATTGATACAGACCAAACACAAGGAAATGTAATCATACCTGTAATTTGTAAAAAACAAATTTATAAAAATTTAAAACAGATAAAATCTGAAGTTAGAAATAAAATAGCATATATACATGTATCAACAATACAAATGATATTAAAAAGCACGTTTAGCTTAGGGATAGATACACCTATGCTAATCAGACTAGAAGATAATAGGATGATAAACAAGTCTGATGCACTTGTTGCAGAAGGACAAGGAAACTTGAAATATGGAAAAATCAAGTTTAATCTTAATTATCAAGTAGGAATGTCATTATTAGACAATAATCTTGATGAATCCATCACTCTGTGTTGGAAAATGTTGAGAAATAAGTTAATGAAAAAGGGAAACCACCCTTTCTCAGTAACCTGGAGAATAAATTATGCATTAACCAATAGTCATCATAGTTTGTCATTCAAACCTCATGATAAAATTGAAATTGACGAGTTATTCTCACCCATATTACGTTTGGAAGCTCCTAAAAGAAATTTTCAAATACAAAGAATTGAATCTATGACTAGACCCAGTATAGACTATATTATTCCCAAAAAGAATAATGAAGAAGAAGAAACTAGTTCTTCAAGAAATAATACTGCTGAAGTAATCATAAAACCCAACAACAAAATATATAAAATTGAACAAAAAGTTCAAGAAATAAGTAAAGAATTAGGACTTAATAATGAGTTCTAAATAGCATACTAATTAATGTTTGAAAGTTTTTACTCAAAGTCTGTAAAAAGTTAGAACAACAAAAATAAAAAATGAGCACAAGAAAAATTTATTTTGATATAGAATGGGAAATTCAAAATATCAAAATGGAAATAACAAGGTATATTTATTTACATGAAATTACAAATTTAGAATTTTATTATGGTATGATGAAGATATGCGAAAAACAATTAAACAGGTTAATAATTTTACAAAAACAAGTAACAGTTGCATAAGAAATAAAAAGGAGTAAAGGGCATTATGGGAATAATTGAAGTCTTACAAGTGGGAGAGAGTAAAGTGGAAGAAAATTAGACATAGGGACTGAAATGGAAGTTAAAAAAGGGTCTAGAGATTTTTAAAGAAGTGCCCCTTAAATTAGAGCATATATAACGACAGCAACCTTAACCAAACCAAACATTTATTCATCTTATAATAATATCCTCATAACTTAATACTAATAATAATAATACTAACAACTATGTCTATAACATAAGTAACTCAATCCTCGTGATCAATGGAAGTTGACACGTGAGCGATAGCGTTGTCCGGGAGCCCAATTAGCTGGTATGACTTTGTTCGCCAAAACCTTTTCCCCGCTTTCAATAGAAGTTAGCCTCACAGAATAAGGTCCTCTAGCGCCATTAGCCAACTCAGCTTTCCACGTGGCACCCCAAGATTGCCCCATAGATACCCATTGTGCCCCTGAATTCGAACCCAAAATCTCAACTCCTCCAACATCACCATCTCCATTCTCATCTTCCACCGCAAAAGCTAGATAGTTCTGGTTAGATCCCACATCGATCTTAAACGTTAAACCCACCTTGTACCCACATTTCACCCTGCACGTGTTCAAATTTTTAATATTTACGTACAATTAAAAAAAATTATTTTATAATTCGAATTAATTAATCCAAAATTATATTATTTATGCCTTTGATACTGGATGTTAATTCTCCCAGCCTGCCGTAAAGCGTTCTCTTGGCCAAACTTAGCTAATGAGCCAAAAGCTTTTCCACTTAAGTCGAAATGAACGGCATCATTATTACACGCGCCCGGGCATTCGTCTGTGATTGTTACAGTTATCGGCCGTCCTGAACATGCCGAATGTTGCGTGCATTTCACCTTTAAAAAAAACAATTAATTTATTAAACAACAAATTAAATATGTTATAAAATAACATAAAATTAGTGACAGATCAGAACTTGATAGCAAGAGCCGCAGCCTTTTCCGGATTTAAATAAAACGTTGTTTCCTGCGGATATGAAGCCATTATATGGAGGAAATCCCACGTCATCCGCAAATCCACAAGCTCCCCCTGCAATGCAATGCATGCCAACAATATAAATATAAATAAAATATTATTTCATATATATATATATATATATATATATATATAATTAAAGTAGAAATGTATACCGCTTCCTGCGCCAGTGGGACTCCCATACCAAGTTGCGACCGCCGGTGTAAAAGTCGTGCTCGCTGATGCATTAATTGACTCGGAATTGATCCGAATAATGCTGCACACAACCAATATCGCTAAAACCAAGTAGCGACAACAGTTCATGTGGTGATAGTTGAACATTTTGATTAAATGCAAACAAAGACAAAATTTGGAGTGGAGAGTAGATAATGTAGCTAATATATATGATGCTATTCTAATTAATTGGATATTTAGGCTCCATCCTACATATTTATACCGTCTATAAAAAAAAAATTGCCTTAATTACATGTGGTTTTACTAATTGGCAGTAAATAAGGGAATCGCAAATTTAATTAGAGGAAATGATATGTAATTACTAATTGGCACTAAATTAGGGAATAGCAAATTTAATTGTAGGAAATGATATGTAATTACTAATTGGCGGTAAATAAGGGAATCCCAAATGATGATTTGCAAATCAAAAGATTATATATACATTTAATATCTTATACAACTTTGATTTATGGAACAAATTTTATACGAGGAGTAATATTATACACATAGTCATTATCTATACTTATATTAAAAGGTATACCATTTACTAAATTTAGTATAAAGAAAAGTCAACAACATTTATTGTATTACTATTTCCGTATTATACAATCTATACTTATATAAAAGGAGATTCTATTTATTACATTTACTATCCAGAAAAGTCAACTGCATTAAATGCCATTATTATTTTGATATTATAATATTTTATTTATTTAATTGATTTATTTATTTGTTTTATTTTAAAAAGGTAAGTATAATAAAAAGATTTTAATAATAAAAAAATCAAATACCAAATAAAAATGTACACTTTGACTTATTTGATTATATTTGGTATTTGATTATACCAAATATATTCATATTTAGTATATACATTTAATACTTACTAAAATATTTATTTGTTTTATTTGTCAAAGTTAAGTATAGATTTGTTTATATTATCAAATCATAAAAAAATATTAAATCCATATTGTAAAAAAAAAACCATATAAATTTATAACAATTGTACTACACTATTTAACAATATTTCTTATTATATAATAAAATAATAATTAAATATTATATGATGAACAACAATAAGTAAAACTGTTACTTTCTCTTATATCAAGGGATAAATTTATATGCTAAAATTAAATTTTTATTAGTATAAATATTTTAGTGAGATAATATATTAATTATTTTACAAGCTAGCCCTAACATGCTCATATTTAATGTTTTAAAAGATGTAGAAAAAAAACTTATAATAACTCTATTGTTTTTAGACTTAAACGTTGATTAAAAGAGGTAAAAATTCCTAATATTTTAGACTTAAACGTTGATTAACACCATAGATTGAAAGTTTATATTTAGTAAAATTCCTAATTGTAATAAAAAAAATTAATTTTTGCTATATTTTAGAATATCTTTAAACTCATTATAAAAAAAGAAAAGAAAAAAAACTACAATGAAAAAAGCAAGTCAGCTATATATCGATTTGTTGTACTCCTCAAATCACATTCACAATTTGGCTACAAGGAAATGAAACTCATTGATTAAAATATTATTTTGTCAGTAGTCTTAATGTACAAGAGACTTTAAGATTCCACTTGAATATTATAAAACTTTTATTGAACATTGTACAATTTTCTTGCGTATTATAAACTTTTATTGAATATTGCATCTTATAATATAATATTCTCCAAATAAATATATCTCGTGCTTTGCACGGGTCACGTACTATATATATCCTGTACATTTTTCTTTATTTATGCATATAATTATAAGCCTGGATAAATAGCCTTAAAATTGTGCACCCTGTGCATCGCACTGGCTCTGTACTAGTTATATTGAAGATTAGTACAATACCGTATACGTTACTTAAATATATTAATATTTGTATAATAAAAATTAAAATAACTTATATTTTTATTGTGAAATTATATATAATGAATATGAAACAATAATAAATAACTAACAAAATGATAATTAATTTAAATGGTGCCTGCATTTTTACGCTAAATTGATAAAAAAAACATAATTTTTAATTATATTCTTAAAATTATATATGTGTAAAACTGATATTATTTACACAACTCCATATATTTGATTTTTTTTTTTAACAAAACAAGTTTTATTGTATTGTGATTATATTTTATATTTATAGAGTCAGTGTCTCACGTCTATTAGTTTTCCATGTATTTTAAATTCATATAATTCATAATTTAGAATTTGCATAGAAATATATTATTAACTTTATGAAATACAAAATTATTTTATTATACTTAATTATGATATTTTTTATATTTACTATTTTAATAATAACATTCAGTTTTTTATAATCTATTTAAATTGAGAAATAATATTTTATAATATTTCTTAGAATTCATTTTATGTAATAATTAATGATTTTTTCCAAATTTATGGAAAAAGCAATAAAATGATTATTTTATGGTGTAATAATGAATTAAATTTTTATTATTTTTATAAAATAATTTATGTTGTTATTTAATGTATTTTAATTGAGTTGATAATAAAATTAATTTATTTATAAATATAGATGAAATTATTTTTCTCTTATATATGCAATATGGATGTCAAATTGAAGATCGTTAAAATATGATTATTTTTGTAAATCATATATAAAAAAATAAAGTACGCAAAAAAAGTTATAAAGTTTTAAAAATAAAAAGAATACATATTTATAATAACTAATATATGAATTAAATAAAAAAGGCAAGAGTAGTATATGGTAACTTATGAAAGAAGGGAAACTAATGGTAATTGGCAAGCTTAATAGTCAAAACCAAACATGAACATGTGTCAATACGAAGCACCAAATTTATGTCAAATAAGCTTACGAAGCACGCGAGCCTGCCACTTAGGCTCAGCGCGCGTATTCGGGAATTATATATAGTGGCAATGTTCTTTTTGCTTGCTAGATAAATAGATGAAAATAAATAGCACACACTTACCCAACCTTTTACAGCAAATATATATAATCAATTGAAACTCTCATCTATATTTATCTAATACACAGCCCGCACGGGACAAATATATTACATGAGTCATTTCCATAGAGCTTGTCTAGCCTACAAAATAATAGAGGTTAATTGGGCTAGACGTGTCAGATACTTAACTCATATTATATGCTTGATCACGATTTTACTAAATCCACGAGTGAGATCTAACTTGAGCGCCGGTGACTTTTCGCCAGGACACCTCCCCTGCGTGTTTTGCAAGTCACAAGAGCACAAGGGGAAGGGCAGTTCGTGGTTGTACCGGTCTATATCCGGTTTGAAGGTAATTTGCGTATCTATGATTTTTTTTTTTTCTTCTCGAGATTCTGCTTTAACTTAACTATATTATTCATATTTTTGCCTCTAATTTCTCTATTTCTCTCCAATATTGTTTTTGTTCGTGCACGAGAGTTGTTCTACTATACAATTTAAAATAAAAACAATCCCTATATAAAGTTCGGCTCCGTTTAAGGAAAATAAAATTTTGACAATTATGTTTTTCACACCGCCTGTTGAAAATTAACATTTTCACCCTAAAAAGTATGAAGATTGTGCGAATAGACCGCATAATCGTCGCATATTCATCACAGAATGTCTTGACATTTTTATTTTTTCAATCCGAGAAAGTGCAACAAATTATGAGAATAGACAGCATAATCTCGCATATCCTTATATCCATCACCAAATTGTTATATATTTATCTCACAATGACTTCGCATTTGAGGAAGTGAAAAAGTTAGACGGTGTGAAAATACTTAATAAATTTTCATAATGAAGGACAAAAAAAAGAAACTATTTTCACGTAATACTACTTGTGGTGGGGTTTTTTTGTTACATGGCGAGAGTCAAACCACACACCAACTCAGCTTCGTGTTGACGAACGCACTTGCGCCACCACGCAGATCTCATGCTTTGCTACAACAATATTTTGATATTATTATTATTATTATTATTATTATTATTATATTATTGTTTCTTCTACAATGTATATGACCGACTTTGTCCCCATTTTTGTTGTTTTCTTTCGTGTTGCTTGCTCCTCTAGCCATCTCCCATATAATATATTCCCTTTATAATCCTTTCAAGATGACATAAAATTGATTATAAAGCTAAATTAAAATTGTGTGAATGACATATTGATAAATAATAAATTTGTTATTTTTCAGTTGATAGATAATATAAATTTATGTATATATATAGTTATTTTTTATTTTATATAGAATATGGATATGTCGAATCGAATATTATACAAATATAATTAATTTGATATATCAATATATATATATTGATAAAAAATAAAAGTATATTAATTTAAGTTGGATAAAACGTCTATCTATAATTTCTAGAATCCTAACAAATATGGATAACGTAAGGTCTACCAGGGTTGCTTCAAAGTACTTGAAAAAAATTGACATATAAAATCTCAAAGCAGCATAAATTTATTCCGCTAAAGTGTTGCATGGTACTCCACATTGAGTCATTGATAAGTAGAGTTGAATTCTTATTATTTCAAATAGCTTACCTTTTGATATTATAATATACATTATAATCTATTATAACTTCTCCGTAACAGTACAAAACCTCTAGAATTCACATATAAAAATATAAAAAAACCTATAGATGTTTCTGAAATTCCAAAGTCTACCTTGGAATCAAAATTTGTTGAAAGCTTATGGGGCAATTGTAATATCACTATAAAACGGTAGGTAAATACATGAAATGTATCAAAATTCAATCTATACATCCTCTCAATAAAAAAAAAATAAAAAATTAAGTAAAAATATATATTTATAGTAGAAAATNTAACCATCCCTTCCCTCAGCCTATATAGCATATACAAACACAAATGCTATTGCGCTGGCTTTTCGTCTATACTTCCTCTGCAAGATTACCTCCTATTTCCCATTAAGCCCCAAACCCATCCAGCTACCCTATACTAACTAACAGACCTTCAAAACTCGAACCCTCAGTCAATTTTCTGTATGGAGTTATCCACTGTAGCAAAGAAGAAATCATCGAGTCTGCTAGCTCCAGGCTTCCGTTTCCACCCGACGGATGAGGAGTTGGTGCGCTACTATTTGAGAAGAAAGGTCTGCGGCAGGGGTTTTCGATTTGACGCAATTACTGATGTCGATATCTACAAGGTCGAGCCTTGGGATCTGCCGAGTATGCGCCACTTTAACTCCTCTTTAGCTTGTCTTGCTTTGTTTATTGTTCGACCGGCGTGTAGGATTCAGTTGAAGACCTATTTGTTTGCCTTATTTATTGATGGGTTCTTCCTTTTTCCGTTGTTTTTGCCAAATAAATCATCTTTGCAGTTTGATTTTGCATTCTGCTTCAGTTTTGGATATTTTGCCTGTTTAATTACTTTTTTTGGGGGGTTTTGTGCTTCTTAGCGTCTCCCAATGTTTAATGAAGATTAATTCTTTAGTTAATCACGTAGAGAGAGAAATAAATGTGTTGCTATGTTGGAGTTTAATTCAGATCCGATCTGCTTGTAATGGGTTTGATGCCATATTTATCTATTTTAGGATTGAGTAAGATTTTGCATCACTGGTCAGTGGTCACAAGTTATTCATTCATTTGATTGTGATCCTTTCTCACCTGGTCTCAGTTTTTGAAGAATATAGCGCATAATGGTAAGTCATCTTTTAGGGTGTGCACTGTTAAGTTTGTGCAGTTATAGTTGGAAATGCTATTAGTTTCTCACTTTAATCCACTGCTGCAGTTGTTTCATACAACATTTTCCGCATAAGGAGAAGCGAAATAGTTCATAAATCTTGATTCCATCCCTTTGGTCATTCTTCTCCATTGTTTTTTTCCCCTTGCAGAATTGGAGAAGAGGTGAAAAGCTATTCTCTTTCTTACTTTTTTATAAGAAAAATGTTTCCTTGGGATATCCTTCGTACTCTTTCCATATCAAAGTCATACCTCAATTTGATGATCAAATTATAAAATCATGCTCGATAAGATTGACTGGCTTTCCATGTGCAACACTATTTATGGCTATGCATGGATGTATGATTTTATTTGACATTTTGAATGTACTTGTTGTTGCATCTTTTTAGACATCATGTTATTGTAATAATCTTGAGATTAATGGCCCGTTTCTTGTAGGTTTCTCGAAGCTGAGGACTAGAGATCTGGAGTGGTACTTCTTCAGTGTGCTGGACAAGAAGTATGGTAATGGAGCAAGGACAAATCGAGCTACAGAAAAAGGATATTGGAAGACCACTGGAAAAGACAGGGCTGTCTACCATAAATCACAAATTGTTGGAATGAAGAAAACACTTGTTTATCATATTGGCCGTGCCCCAAAGGGGCAAAGAACTAACTGGGTTATGCATGAGTACAAACTTGCTGACCTGGAGCTGGAGAGAGCTGGGATCGTTCAGGTATGATCTCCTCATACGACATGTTAGTCTGAATGCTGCCATTGAAACATGATCTTAGGGCTATCTTGAAAAAAAAAAAAAAATGTAGGAGTTACACATGAATGGTATCTGGAACAAGAGCAAACTTAATGTTAATGCATATGAAAGGGATTGATCCTTCGTACCAAAATTGAAATTGGAGCAGTATTGTCATGTTGTAGCGGCAATCCGTGTTATTTTCATGGGCATTTAAGTTTTATTTGTCTACATTATCATTGCTTGTTTGTGAAGATTTACTCTTAAGAACTGTTGCATATTTTGTTGGGTAGGATGCATTTGTGCTTTGCCGAATCTTTCAGAAGAGTGGTTCAGGGCCAAAGAACGGTGAAAAGTATGGAGCACCTTTTGTGGAAGAGGAATGGGAGGATGATGAATTGGAATTTGTTCCAAAAGCTGAGATTGCAGAAGAAGTTGACTTTGGTGGTGATGCTTATTTGGATGGCGATGATCTTGAGCAGGTTAGTGCTATAGTTACTCCACACACGTTACTACACCCAACAGTCCTAAATTGATGAGGCCTACCTGCATATCAGTACATAATCAAGACTTATTTATTTTCCACATGGTCTGTTCCACTAAAAATGTACTATTGGTATATGATCTTAATGACAGAATTATGTGGCACATCGTCGTGGCCGTTTCTGGATTCTATTGAATCTGAAAATTTAAAAGCAAAGACTTCGAGCGAATTATTTGTGGCAATAGTAATGCTTTGTGTAAAAATGAATGAAATAGGGATTGCCTTGTGAAAAATGAAGAAACAGAAGTTGGTTGCATGATTCGAGCAATAGTGGCAATAGTAATGAAGTTGTTTTGTTTCGATATGGATTAATGTCACTGCTGCATGGTTTGTTTGCTATTCTGAATATTCACCTACTTATTAGCAATAATTTCTTTCTTTGGTAGCTTTATTTTCTTCAGGCAAGAAAGGTAATGTCAATAAAATATATTTTTGTATATGAAGTCCAATAATTGACTTGTGCATATGTTGCTTTATAAGCCATTACCAGTTATTAACCTTTGTTTTCTGGAACCTTTTCATTTGCATGCCTACTGATTATGGATTATTACTTGCTTAATCTCTCTTTATATATATAGATAGATATTTATATCTTTATATAGATGTATGTAGATCCTCTTTAACCTTAAACAAAAGTTAGGGTAAAATTTAATGTGCAAGAAGATGGAATTTGACTGAGCCTGCTTCCATTGGCAAGTCTAAGAATTGGATTTGAATTTGATTATGAAACTCTGTCCGCTGGGCCATCTTCTTCCTATGAAATAGTCATCTTTGCTTATAATTGATTTTCTTTGATAACATTGGATATGCATTAGTTCAATTTCATGGTTTTCTGCTAATTATTTCCTACGTCAGATTCTTGGATCAACAGATGTTCCATCTGATATCTCTCCTCCATTAAATCCCCAATCTGCCTACAGCAAACTTGACGAGCAGACTGCCGAGTCTGTTGATGACACCTCAAAGCTATTGCAAACTGCTGGTGAAGAATATGGCGAACTTGAGCAACAGCATGAGGATGAGAACTTGTATGATCCAAATGCCCCACATGAAATGGTTGTAAGGGCAGTTAAACATGAATATATTGGAGAATCCAGCAAATCTCAAGATCCATCTAATGATTTGGATTACTTACTTGATGAACCATTTGTTGATGCTCCTGATGGGCTTCCTTACGGCAATGGAGGACTTTTCGAAGCTAATGATCTTACAAATCCCGTTGACAAGAATACCTCTGCATTTGATATGCTTGAGGAGTACCTTACATTCTTTGATGCAAATGACAACAGTATGGAGCCGTTTGCATTTGATCCTTCACTGATGTGGGGAACAGAGGATCTTGTTTCTGATCAGGCACTGGTTGCTACAGAGGTATTTGCAAGTTGAATCTACTCGTTTTTACATGCTTAAAAATATTACAAATTTTTTACCCATCTTTATTTATTTATTCATTGCCAGGGTCTGAACGATGGGACTGATCAATCAAGTATGCATAAGCAGCAACTTATTAAGGATGGCATCGATGCTGAGTTGCCATCTGATAAGCTGGATTCTGCCAAATTTGATTCAGGTAGCAAAAGTTTTTCTTCTTTTTTGGTGAAATGTGTTTTTTAACTATAACTAATCCCAGAATGTTCTTTCAAACTGCACCCCCAGTCAGGGGTGTGTTTGATTTTTTTTAACTCAAATCTAACTCAACTTTAACTCAGCCCCACTATCCTCAATATATAATTAAATAATATCAGTCAATTATTGCTACACATTACATCAACTTTAATTCACTATTTATCCGCTCACATAATTTTAACTAACCATCACTTCTCACTATCTATCTATTACTTTTATATCAAATCAACTTTATTTATTTTATTTTAAATATTATTTAAATATAAACTCAAAATCTCACTAACAACTAACCATACCACTTTTTCCAAAATTAACCACACCAAACCAAAAAATCCAAACAAAATCAAAATATTTTATACCCAAGCATCCCCTTGGTTTTTCATTATGTCACTAGGGCAGTATGCGTAATTTACAAATTTGATCTTTTTTACTTAATTGTTGTATTATAATAAACTAAGCTAAACCTCAGGGGTAACTTTTATTATCCTTACCGAACAGCGTTGGGCTCCATATGCATTAACAAATATATCATCCTCTGACTTGGGTTCGTTCTCCAATTGTGCAGACGCACAATATCCTTTATTCAAGAAAGCAAGCCATATGCTGGGCAGCATTCCAGCCCCACCAGCCTTTGCAGCTGAATTCCCGTCAAAAGATGCTGTGCTCCACCTCGATTACTTGTCCCAACCGTCCACTTCAGTTCACGTCACTGCTGGCATGATTCAGATAAGTAATTTGAACACTGATGGCAGCCAATCACTGGGCAAGCCCCAGAACTTCAACATTGTTCTCTCATTTGGCTTTTCACAAAGGGATGATGGTTCTGCCAGCCTGGAATCCAGTCTGAGCATACTTCAAGGAAAAACTGCAATGGAAATCTCCAGGAGATGGTTTTATTTTCTACTTTTTTGGGTCCTAATCCTTTGTGTGACCTTCAAAATAAGGACCTGCATTTCTGCAAAGTAAACTTGCAGTGAGTGTCCTAATGATGCTTTTAGTATAATGATTGCAAATTTGCAATACTGGAAAGTCATCTACTGGATGATGTACACTTTGGAACTGTGGGAGACTTTATTTGTTTTGATGTTTTAAGTAGTGGTTAGGGGGAAAAATTAGTTTCTAGTCTTGGAGCGAGGTATATACTGCTCCTATAGATATAGTGAACACTGGTTAGATCTTAGATGCAGTTTCGGACCTGGAATTATTGACATAAGATTTTAATAATCTAAATGTGTGGAACTTATGTGGTGTTTGCAGCATTGTAGCAAGACTCGACTATTTCACTGTAAGTTGTGAAGATGGGTTCAACTTATTTATATAGCTGTGTGCTTTTATGCTTCCACACATTATGCGACTCTGAATAGTTTTCTGTGCATATGTTGGTTGAAGGCTACGTATATTGTCCACTGATGCCACTAGGTTGCAGCTCTGATCGTAATTTTTCCTCTTACGTGAAGCCTCATTGAGAGAGGGATATTTGTTCTCATTTATAAGCCCGTGACAAGTAGCGATGGCAAGTCAAGTATACGGAGGTATGTGGAGTTTTCCTCGCATAAGCCTCAGCAAGTATACAGTTGACTCTACAAGTATGGGCAGCGATGTATCTGGTGTTATGTTTGGTATTGAATTGTTGTGTTCTGATGATGTCCAATTGTTCTATTATAAATATACAAATGTTGCATTGTTGCGGAACATCACTAAGAACATCTCCAATACTATTAAGTGCAAAAATGAGTGTCATGTCATTATTGCAGACAATGTCTTCATATTTATCTCTTTAATGGGCATTGATCTAATTTTGTATGACGTGGCTTAACAATAGTCAAGTCCATTGTTTGAAATCAGAAAGTGCATTCAACGGTATGACTAAAAAAAACGTCCAACGAGTGTATAATCCTAATTTGAATTATCTATGAAATAATACTAAGCACATCATATGCAGAGGTTAGGATTTAATACTTACGGTTTATAAATTTTCCACAGACTCTGAGTTGACTTACATGGTCAACGGGATCGGACGAACTGGCCTCCTTTGACTTAGGGATCTTCTATAGTATTTCAAACACCGACTCTATTGTCTTCGTGGATAACGATCTCTGGAATCCACTTTCAAAGACTTTCTCTATTGCCTTGGAGAAATAACGGAAAAAGATCTTGTATTTTTGGAGCCTATCTTTTTCCTTAAGATCTCAAATTNAAAAAAAAAAAAAAAAAAAAAAAAAAGAAAAAAAAATCTCGAATTCTTATGTAAGAGGGGCGGCCGAAATTCCTTGAGGGACTGGTGTATATATAAGCTACAACAAGGATCTTGAGGAGGAGTTAATTAATTAATCCTCGTATGATTAGGTGTTCTTAGGTTACGGTCCACCTATAACCAATACACATGTATAATATTTTATTCCACGAAATAAATATTACTGGAACTTCCTTTGAGGCTCCAGATTTATCAACTCGATTTATCTTCCATGTTTAAGAGATAATGTTCGTTAATTAGCTTAACTACTGACAATATAATTAATTAACTTCTAATTTTGAAACTAGTATCACTCAACCTTATTATTATGTCGGAACCCAATCCGTCTGTAGGGTTTAAAAAAATAATCCTCTTCAGCACATATCAGGGAGATCATCAACCTAGCGATCTAGGAAACATTGTCCGTAAATAATAGAATAACACACTATACAAACATCAATATTTTTCAACTCACCTAGACTGTTGATTTAGTAGAATAAATCTCACTTTTTGTTGAATCAAAGAAATATCTATTGAATTCACGTGGTCGTTATTATCTTACAGATTAAGAGTGCGAGTAATAATCGAGGTCTAGTTTATTTACATGTTTAGTATAAAATAGACTTATCTTCCACATATCTTTTCAATACACTTTAAGTATCTAGTGTAATTCATTAGTCAAGAACCACTAATTCCGAAACTACACTACATCCGTTCACGATAGGTGATTCAATTCTATCTAGGTTGTGTACCATACTTTATATTTTATATGGAACTGATAATATGATCTTCTGTTAATTACGATGAACCATCTATTTACAATGTAAGACATTAGAACATTAAACTGTTTACTTAAACACAACTCTCACTCAAACAGAATTAAGTTTGTAACAAAGTCAAGCTTATTTTATGCAAACCAACAGAAGGAAGGTCAAGTTATCGACCTGGGATCTATGTGACCCGAGACCTCGGGTAGCAAGCTGGTACACGGTGGCACATCTAGCTCCATAGGGTGACTTCGTGCCGGCCTAGTGGACTGGTAGAGGCGTTACACGTGTGACATCTGATGGAGGTAGAATTGTGAGAATTCAATAAATCTAGAATATAAGAAAGGATCTTTATCACAAGAAGGTATGTGTATATCCAGATTCTTCAAGGGAGTAGACATCTTGAGAAACAAGGTAAATATGCTCTTGTCAAAGTAGATGCATGATTGTTATTATGTTATGTTTTTTTTTTCATTATCGTATATACCTTACAAACGAAAGAGATATTGACTTGATCGTCGGAGACTCTACGTCAGAAACCTTTCCTACGCTTTTCTCAGTACTCAGAAGAGTGAGTCAAGAATGATTCGAAGATCCAAAAAACAACCGACTATTAGAAGTTAGGCGAATTTTCATGTATATGGAAAAAATGAAATTTAACGATAGGACAAATCTTGTTTGCATCTTTACAATAGCATGCCAATTAATTGTAAAGATGCACCATATTATGGAATTTTCAGTTATCAAATAAAATATAATGCTTCCCCCTTAAATATAAAATGGGATTTTTTTATTAAACATAAATAAAAATTATTATATATGGTAAGGTTATATATCCTAATAATAGGATATTGTTTGACTACAAAATTGAAAGAGAAAGAATTTGAATTTAAAACTACATCATCTTCCAAATATATGTTGGGTTCGCTATACTGTACGGATTAAAATCACAGCGGAAATTATACAATATAATTATCATTTATCAAATAAATACTTAATCCGTAAGTACACATAGCGAATAAAATGATCGGCACCTTTTAAAATCACGTAAAAATACGAATTTTGATTTATAGAGAATTTCAAAAATTACCTTTAATTTTCTTCAAATAGCGACGATGAAGAAGAAATCAATTCCCGGTTATGTGGCTATCACCATCTTCTTACTCTGTCAAGTGTCTCCCCTCTAATCGAGTCCACCCATTTGGATTCCGACTCCGAGAACAATTTCTTCGCTAGTAGAAATTTTCCGGTATTCAATTGGTATTTGGAATTGAAATTAAAAGAGAATATTTTTATTTATTTTCTTCAAGAACAATTCTTGTAAGAATGGGAGAGATAATTTTTCTTATCTTCACTTTCTCAAAGTGCAAGACATTCATCCTACATTTTTCATATATCATATATATCTATTTACATTAAAATTTTATGTATAAAAAATATAATATTGGGTACAACCATTTTCATATAAAAATGAAGTCTTGGCAAGACTACTCCTACCCAAATTTATTAATAATAAAAATAAAAATAAATATGTAGAGTGGGTAACAACTCCCATCTATCATAATTATTTTATTTTTATTAATATTTAATCTTTAATCTAAATTAAAGATTAATAATAACAAATAATTTATGAAACATTTTCAATATTATTTGTTAAAATATCTTTATCTCCCAATAGAATAAAATCTCCTCTTTTTATAATCATATTATTATTTGAATTTGAATTTTAAAATCCAATTTTAAAATCCAACTATTAATTTAGTAATTCCAATAATTACTTAATTAATATCCAAAGCCTAATTCATCAATCCAATTGATTAATTTATTTTATTCCTTTAATTGACATCTAATCAAGATTAGATTTAATTAAATTTTGTCAATTAATCCAACTATTGGAAATACCAATTTCAATATTGTCATCATCCAAATTTTGGTGTGATCCTTTTAGGTTCACGATTAACACTAGTAGTGGGTTTACAACTAGTTTGTAATTTAAATTAATCTAATTAATTTATATCCTTGAAATTAACTCCTTAATTTCAAGAACTCACAAATCATGGTAACACCTAGCAAGTAGCATGATTATCGCACTCTTGATTCGACAACAAGTAGGAAGTCTAGTTCGAACCTTATGAGAAAGGGAAGATTATTGGGAGAGGGCCGTTGACGCAGCCCTCTCTTAGATTTTTTAGTTATAACGTGCTAACCCTCTCTTAGATTTTTTAGGTATAACGTGTTAAGTGAAATAGCGAGTAAACCTTTTCAATTGCAAGTGCATACATGTAAAATCCTTTCGACAACTAATTTCCCGATTAAATCTTGGGCATGGATTTATAAGTCGAAACTCAATTGATTTAATAACTATGATTCCATTTCGAGTTTATTGATTCCTTTATGAATTCATATCCATCCTGCCTTGGCCAAGGTCTTTGAATAACAAACTATGAAAAACATAAGAAATTCACTTATCAATATAAGTGTCGAATTCTTGTTGGCCACAGATAAACCTCCATACATATTAATACAGTACCCAAAATATCCCTTTATGATTGTCCAACAATCAAAGGATAAATCAAAGTAAACCACAACATGCACAAGATTACTATCGTGCCTCAAGTCAGAGGATCAATCATGTACTATTGCAACATGAAAATTCTTATTCGACAGTTAAAAACTTCCAGTTAAGAATTTTCATCGGGTCATGTTCAGTGAACTTGTTCTCCAACAAACACCCACATATATGCATTTGCGTCCACAGGCTAATGTTGATGGAATGCAACATTCTCATTCGATGAGCATACATCATATGCACAAGTCTTACTGAGTTATTCGATATCCTGTCTCGAAACACCCATCGACTTGAAACTTATTTAAGATCACAGCTTTAAAGACATGTTCCATGATTGTCATCATATGCGCAACCATGTCTTATAGCAAATAATGATCTAAGGACTTTATCATATGTGCAAATATAGGATAAATGCAAAAACATAAGATAAAGTTATGCCTCAAAATAATATAATTCCCAATAAATTGTGTTTAAAAGTAGAAATAGATCCAATCAGATTGGAACGCCGGGTATTGTACTCTAACAATATATAGGTGTGACTGGAACATGAAACTTTTGCCACATCATCTTCTCACGGACTATATGTTGCGTCTCGTAAAAATTGCAGCTACAACAAACTATATGTTGCGTTTATAGTCATTAAAGTTGTTCATCACTAAGATGTTTTGAATGGAAAATATATATTGTGTTTACAGTCAGTATATGCTGCGTTTTTTATTTACATAACATTTTCATCTAACCACAACTGTGATGTTTAAATTTTTGTTTAGTATATAATGATGCATTCTTTTATTTACATAATATTTTCATCTAACCACAATTGTGATGTTTGAATTTTTGTTCAGTATATAACATATCATATAACTAAGGAGGAGAAGGAGTAGAAAAGAAATAAGGAGGAAATTGTGATGTTTGAATTTTGATCCAGTTAGTCAATATTTCAATATATATTGTGTTTTTTATTTACATAACATTTTTATCTAACTACAATTGTGATATTTGAATTTTTGTTCAGCATAAACTGATCATAATCATTATCCTAATATATTATTTTAGTTTATGTAGAGTATACGATACAAATACAAAGGTCAGTAGCTTGAAAAAAAAAAATGTCAATCAATTGAAAACAAAGTGGGTTCATGGATGGAAAAAGCATAAAAAGTAATGGTAATGGAAAAGCTATAACCAGAATAAAATAATGGATTATATACATATCATAAACTACTCATAACAACAGAGGTGTGTGGGAAACAAATATATAGTAAAACACACTATTGATGAAAACTAGATGCATTAGGTAAAGGACAACGATTAAACACCTCTAATGCAAACTCAAAACCGCCATGGGTCACAACAGGACGATCCCAAATAAAAGCCAAAATCTTCTGAAAAAAATCAAAAAATCAGAAGCTAGCCTAACAATTGAATAAAAACAAATGAAGCATGGGCCAGATGAGAAACACATGAAGCACGGGCCACGGAAACATATACTGAAAATATACTGCCTATACATGTAACATATACAACCGACATTTCCACGAGCCCGAACTTCAGGCCTCGCCTTCGTCATCTCTAACTTGGCCTCCCCGTAGGGAAGGAGGTGGGGAGGGACGCGCAGCCGCTTAAGCTCATCGTTGTCTCTTAAAAAACAACCGCATGAATCGAAAAAAGAAGCCACCGCATCTCCGATTCAAGTTATTAAGTTCAAAATAAAATGCAAGAAATAAAAACATCCATAATTTCACAATCGCTCATCAGAATAATGAAAACTGTGGTACAACTTCGATTTTCGACGATTTTCTACCTGCTGAACATTGTGGCTGATCCAGCACCCATTCCGCTGTCGGGAAGGCAGTCGCTGCCGGAGCCCAGAGAAACTTGTGACACATCTGTCGGATGATGGCGAATCTGGCCTGGACGACCCGACTTCGGAACTCAATCCAAAAAACCTCGTCCTGATCTTCAACCACTAGCTCGTCTACAAAGTGCTGGACGATGCCAAATACTCGTAGCACGCGCTCTAGTTCTTCAGTGGGTCGAGCAATCCAATCTCTTTCAACACTACAGGGAAACCCACCTCATGATTTGGAGGGAGTTATTTACATAATAATAGGACATCAATTTTGGTATAAATCACAATTAAATCCACTACCTACCTTATTACGTTTAGCTCCGTCTTTGATTTACTATCTAAAAACAAGTTTCTTGCATAAGCCTCTGGAGTTGGTCAAGTATGCCGGTGAGAGAATCAGTCCATAAATATGACGAAACTTAAATTATTGTATTTATGCAAATAATTAGGGTAGATTAGTTATTTTGCTAATAAATATATATAAATTGTAAATATATAATAAAAATGACATTTAGTAGTGTGCTAGGTAATTTTCTCTAAAAGTTATTTGATCGATCCTATCACACGAAATTGAGTACTAGCATAAATAAGAGTGCCCATCTTGTAATAAAATAATTCAAACTTTCTGATTTGCGGATAAATTGATAATTAATTCAATTTTCCATAATCTTTGCTTCTATTTAGGCAGATAAGGACCAAATCTAATGCTTGGGCACTATTAAAAAAAGATATATAGTGGTCATATCGTACAATTCAGATATTCAGAGTATGGAAATCATTTCTCACTCATCTTTATCTATGTTTTTATTGATTTTGGTTTTTTCTAGTGTAATTGAAGGAGATACAGATGATGGCATTGACCGACCACAAGCAATCAAAAAGAAAGAAGACCCAAAGGCGCTGTTGGCTGCGAAATTTGCGGTCTCAGAGCACAACAAACAAAATAAAAAGAGTTTAATGTTTGTGAAAATTGTGGAGGCAGAGAAGCAAGTGATTAGTGGAGGATATTTGCATAAGTTACAGATATCTGCAAAGGATAGTGGGGCTGCCAAAGATTATCTTGCAGTTGTGTTTACAAGCATCAAGCAAAAAGACATGATACTCATGTCTTACTTAGATTGTGATGGGAAGTGTAATTTAGGGTGAAAATAACTTGTGTAATCTATACTTATATAAAAAGCTATCACATTTATTATAATTAGTAAGAAGAAAAGTCAACTCATAATTAATTGCACACTATATTTATAAAGTTTTAGATATTTTAAATCATAAAATAGGGTACCATTGAATGCCCCTAAAATTATGGGTTTTGTTGAATTCATTTTTGAAAATTTCAGATATTGAAGTGAATATGAAATTCAAAATCTTTTCTCATTTTATTTTTTAATAAAAAATGCATCTAAATTTACGTGTGGTTTTGAATTGAAAATTTGAAATTCAAAATCTCTTCTCATTTTAGTTATAAGAAAATCAGACTGCATTAAACACTTGGACCAATTTAAAAATTATTCCTTAAATGAAGGAATTTATAAATAATTGTTATATCTACTTAATCACATGATTATTTTCAATATAAAAAGAGACAGAATACAAATTAGTGAATCATATATTACCTAATTCAATATCTTAACATTAAATAATAAATCCATAGTATTAGTATTATGTAAATCCGTATCTCATATTATTATATCATTAAGAATATATTATAGTTATATTATCAAATCATAAGAAGATATTAAATTCATATTGTAAAAAAAAAAATTCATATAATTTTATAACAGTTCTACTACACTATTTAATAGTATTCCTTTTTATTATATAATAGAATAATAATTAAATATTATATAGTGAACAACAATAAGTAAAACTGCTACTTTCTCTTATGTCAAGGGATAAATTTATATGCTAAAATTAAATTTTTATTAGTATAAATGTTTTAGTGAGATAATATATTAATTATTTTACAAGCTAGCCCTAACATGCTCATATCTAATATTCTGGCTAAAAAAACAACGCTGGTTAAAAGATGTGGAAAAAAAACTTATAATAACCCAATTGTTTTTTAGACTTAACGTTGATTAAAAGAGGTAGAAACTAGATAATAACCCTATTATTTTTTAGACTTAAACAAACAAGTGGGTGAAAATAACTCATTTAATATCTCTGTCCTGTGACTTAAAGAAACAAGGGGGTAAAAATAACTCATTTAATATCTCTGTCTCGTGCATCGCACGGGATATGATGAGACGTATTAATTTAAAAGGCTATCCTTATTTGAACCAAACATGATAATAGAAAGGATATATTATGATATTTTGTGATATCATACGCATAACTCCTAGCCAAATACTACCTTTTAGTTTTTATTCCATATCTTGTAAAGAAATACTAGTACGTATGCACGAGACAGAGATATTAAATGGGAAAAGTTTTAAAACTAGTCCTACAGATTAAAGGGGTGCCATTTTTGGTCCCGCAAGATAGCAAAAGTCACAATTATTCCATACCTTTCAAAAAGTAATCAAAAATAGGACTTTTCATGCGATTTGAAAAGCCCGATATGCCATGTGGCACAAATTTGGCGTTTTCCTTGACATGTTGGCAGCAGTCATCACATGTGGCATGACCCTAAACTTGTGGGACTAATTTTGAATATTTTCCTATCTTTTATATTGTTGTGTTTTTCTTTTGTTATATAAATTATTATATATATATATATATATATTAATTAATAGAAAATATTATTAAGTAAATTTAAGATAAAATTATGAATAAATATATAATTATTTATTATAACTATTTATAAAAACTAACATGCTCAGTATAGAGTATGATATAAGTAGCCCATAATAACTATTTATATTATTATGGGCTACTTATATTATATGTAAAAAAATTTCATAAACAAACATGCTCAGTATATTGATCGTAGTAATTACTTTAGTTATTAATTATTACTACTTTTTTTTTAGGTTTTATAAAATTTTGAGCAGTCCTATTTGTGTAGCTGCATTGGGGAAAGGAAAAATTTCAATTACCTTTCATTTGTTTATATGAACAGAAAAAAGAGAGAAAAAACTTCCATTGCAATTACAACTCATGCGTATCAAATCAATCAATCTCTCTGTCTGAAATCTCAATAAAGAAGTTCTCTACTTTCCGTATCATTTACTAAACAAAATCTAAACAAATCTAATTACAAAATCTAAACAGAAGAAAAACGTACGCGGTAAGCCACGCCACTTTTTACAAGCTTAAAACCAGAGCGCAAAACCTATGAAGACGATCGGAGGTCCGAAACAGGCAATGAACAGATCTTTGAAGAGTCAAATCATGAGACCCTCCAAGAAAGTAAAGATTTCTTCTTTTTCTTGTCTTCGTTGGTCTCTGTTCGTTAGAGATAATTTCCTTTTGCTCTCTGTTTTGCATTTAAATATATATATGCGTGTGCGGTGATTGATGACGGTGCTTGGTTTGGCGTTTTTATAACTTTGTTCAGTTGGTTAATCGCTTGTTCCAGTTACCCGTGTGCAGTTCTGATTGGGATAATTGAAGGATTGTACTTTTGTTTTGTTGCGTAATGAATGTGGTTGAATTGCTGCTTACTGAATTTGTCTCATGGAGTATAAATCTTTGAAATCATATTTTGTGCCCAAAATTGAGTCTTTGAAGTAAAGTCTGTCGGCTCAGTTTTTTAGCACTCTTATGGGATTTGCTGTTACTTGTTGTAATATGTAGCTTCCTATTTGAGCATGGATACATAATCATATTCACAGGGCCAATCCCATTTGGACGTCCTCTTAGTTTCTAAATCTCTTTGTATTAAGGTTGTGTCTCAGTCATGGATTCTCATTACTTTCTTCATGTCATTATTAATTTGTTGCTTCTAGTGCTCCAAACTGAATGGTGTAATCCGAGGTTTATTCATATTAACCAAATTATGAATATCATCAAAATATCCTCATAACTACTCTTTTATCATATTTATCATCACCTGTTCTTGATATTGAAGTGTTCATCAGTAGTTCAATTCCTCTTTCCATTTTTTGGTTGTAGCAATTGAAGTTTTTATCAGTTTACAAAGCGATTTCATTTGTTGTAAATTTAAAATTTATGGTGCTTCGTTTTGATCTCTCTGTGGACACAACACAATATATTATGTGCTTTTGTAAGTTTAGTTTTAGTTTGGAAATATACTTATATATTTTGTTCGGTCTTATGTTTAAAATTTTGGTTTACCAGATAAAAAAACAGATAAAATGCGGAGTTCAAGTCCCCCAGATAAAGTTTTCAGACGACGAATCCCTGCCAGTTGTTGCTATCAGTCGTCAAATCTCCAATCCCATCTTACCGAATCTTATCTTGCGGGCCATTCCCGAACAAGACGCTGTTCCTGCCTCAAACTCCAAGCCCAATTTCGCCGTCCTCATTGAACTGAAAGCCCCACCCCTACCACACCAGGAAACACGTTCCCCCATCGACCTAGTTATGGTGCTGGATGTCAGCAGTAGTATGTTTGGGCCAAAGCTGGACCTTGTGAAGCGGGCCGCGGGCTTCGTTGTGGACAACCTAGGCCCATCAGACCGCCTCTCCTTAGTCTCTTTCTCTAGTTCTGCTCATAGAGTCCTCCCTCTCCTCAGAATGACTAATGCGGGCCGGGCCAAAGCTAAACGGGCCGTCAACTCCCTCAAAGCCCACGGCGGCACTAACATCCCGGACGGCCTCAAAACGGGTCTTCGAGTTCTCGAAGAGAGGAGTCATCGTAATCCCGTTGCAAGCATCATGTTCTTGTCTGACGGTCAGAACACTTGCTTCCCATTTATGGGCCAGCCGTTTATGGGCCAGCCGATCATGGGCCAACCGATTATGGGCCAGTCGTACCTTTATCTTTTGCCGCCATCCATGCATCCCGGGCCGGAAAAGAAGCCCGCAAACTTTCCCATCCACACGTTTGGCTTCGGCTCGGACCACAACCCGGTAGTGATGCACGCAATCGCGAGCCTCTCAGGCGGGACTTTCTCGTTTATCGAGTCGTACGAAATGGTGCAAGACGCGTTCGCGAACTGCATTGGCGGCCTGTTGAGCGTCGTGGTCCGCGACCTCCGCGTGATGCTGATGTCAGCGTCGTGCGGCGTGCGAATCAACTCGATTCCTTCCGGAAGCTACCCGAGCGAAGTATCCGGCCTCGAGAGCTCTCGTGGGTCGATAAACGTGGGAGACCTTTACGCGGACGAGGAGAAAGATTTTCTCATCGACATCTCCGTCCCCGTGTGCTCGGAAAACGAAAATGATGGGCGGCGGCGGAGGACCCCACTCTTGGACGTCACGTGCTCGTACAAGGACGTGGGCTCGAACGAGAGGGTAGAAATGGAATCCGCTGAGATACGGAGGCCGAGCTTTTTATTGGCATGCGATGTTAAGGTGAAAATCGAGGTCGACAGGCAGAGGAATCGGCTGAATGCGGCGGAGGGCCTCGCAGAGGCCCAACTGGCGGCGGAGAAGGGGAATCTCGAAGGGGCTCGTGCGATTTTGTCGAGCGTGAGGTTGAATGTTTCGGGCTCGGCGGCAGGCCAGGCGGGAGACAGGCTGGCGGTGCAGCTGGCGGACGAGATGAGAGAAACTGAGGAGAAAATGGGGTGTAAGAGGAAGTACGAGGAGGCGGGCAGGGCTTATGCGCTGTCGAGCATGAGTGCGCACGCGAATCAGAGGGCGTCGACGAGGCTGCGGGCGAATTATGCTTATGTGACACCTAATATGGCTAATATGGTGAGCAAGTGTCATCAGGTAATCAAGATGGAAGGTGTTAAGAAGAAGGAAAATTAGATTTTCTTTTTTTTTTTTCTCATGATGGATATTGCTTAGGTTATGTGCTGCACAATATTTATGGCCCTTTTGAAAACTTATGTTTATGGCCCTTTTGAAAACTTATGTTTTTGTTCCTTTTGTTTAGGGAGTTCCAAGTTTCAACCTTTATTTTTCTTCTGTGGCTAGTTTAGTGATGTAAGATGTTTCTTCTATAATTATTGCATCTTAGTTAAGATCTGCTGAATGTTTGGGACAATTTTTCGTTATGGGACTTGAACGTATTAAATTATCAAACAATGGGAATGACTAGTGTGAATGTTGTGAAATGGAATTGAAGGAAGTTCAGTGGAGCTTGTGATTGATCATTCTTTCGAATAATGTTACGGTTGAACAAAGATGGAGCACTTACTTCTGGTAATAGCATTGAATGTAGTGGTAATTTTGATTTTCACTGGTGAATTAATTTTTTCTCTGGATGTGGCCTCCTAGACGTGGAGTGTTCATTCTTGATCGACATAAAAAAATGTCTCATTTTTACTTGGGGTGCTTCTATTTTTCAGTGTTGAAACATCCACCTTATGCTATCATAGGTATTCAATTATTTCAAATGGAAGCGAGCTTGCTAGTGGAATACGTTGCAATGTCATTTATAAATGGTCATTTTACATTTTTTCCGTCACAATAGAAAATACTCGATAAAACAATCATATAATGTTTCAATACGATAGGACAAAAACCGAATATAAGCCAAAAAATAATGGGAGAACCACAAACATGTGGCCTAGAATAAAAAACACCCAAACCCAAAGCATCCAAAGGCAGTAAAGACACTGGATCCTTCAACTACAACAACACACCAGAAAACCAAATAATACTACTAGAGCCACACTTCAGTTGATTTGCTTTCGGATCTCACACATCTTCCGTGAGGGGAACCGACCTGCTGACTTTCTTGCTGGCATCGGGTCCTCCACCCCCGACACACGCATCCTCTACCCTGGCGATATTCCTCTCCGCTTCCGTACCCTTATACGGATGGACCAGATGGGATATCCTTCATTCAGATTTGTGTAGCCAGGCCTACCTTTTGGCGCATCTGTTCTTCTGTGATGCTGACTTCTCGCGTGGTTTTTTCTAGACCAGGATCTGACTCTTTTGTGTTATTTGCTGCTGTTGTCAACTTTTTCTTGTATGTTTTCTTGTTTCTGTTTTTTGCTTTGTTTGACTTGATTTATATTAGACATTAGACTTCCAGACTTGTGACTTTTCTGCTCATTTAGGGCCTTTTTATATACAGGTTGGGGGTCCGGCTTTAACCCCCTTTCGAGATATATTTAAATAAATAAATAAAAAAAAACAGTTCCTAGCCACTAACCCCTGGATCTAGATAGTATCTCTTACCTACACAAACACAGCTTGCCATTGATCTCATTATACTCCATCCATTCCTGCGTTGTTGCTTGCACAATGGAGTATTCGAGCCTCCACAAACCTTGAAACTGGCAAAGGTTGCACGCTTTCTAAAGCCATAGTAGGATATAGGTTGTTAGTTGAATGAGGGCTTCTGAAATATCTCTATGGTCTAAGGAACACACCTTCCACCACCAATATTCGAATTCACAAGAATCAATTTGTAACCCATCCCAGCTAACCGAAGCTAACTTCTACACTTTTCAAGTTCTACCGCATTTGAAGAAGAGATATTCCACTTATTCCTCCTCTTCTCCACAACCCTTACAAATTAAGTCCACCTCCCTATCTTTATTCTTCACATATAAGTTCATCGGAAATACCCCCGAAAAACAAGGTTGAATCACTCCCTTCAGCTCTATCTATCATGTGAACTTTTTCTTCAATAAAGTGTGTATAAGAAGCTGCAACTAAGAATCTTCTTCTTCTTCTTCTTCTTCTTCTTCTTTTTTATCCAAGCCCAGGACCCATTTATCCTCCACATTCAAATTTAAAGAGGCGATCCACAGATAACAGCACTTTATGCTTCACTAAAAACCTCTCGGATTAAATCTTCATCCTAATTCCTTCCACATCTATCCATCAACTCCTACACCCAAGTCAACTCTCTTCTCACTATTTTTTAGATTTTTGGTTTCCTATTATTCAGAGTTGGCACCCAGTTATACTCCTGAATCTTTGTTGTGAGCCATTTCTAACTTCCACTCTGAGCCCCTTCTCAAATAAAGATATGATATCCACCCAATTGTTCTATATCCAAGATGAGCTTTGTTTCTTATATGGATCTAAAACGTAGAAGAGTTAGGGAAATACCTGATCTTCATTATTCTGCTCACTAAAAGATATGGTTGAGCCAAATCCTCCACAATTGCTTCATTAAGAGAGCCTCATTAAAGAGCTTTTATGCCTTGAAAGCCAAAATCCCCCTTCTCCTTTGGTAAAGCAAGCATGTTCCAAGCCTTCCAATAAATACTCCTACCTTGATCTTCTCCCTTACTTCACCAAAGTTGGGCACAAAGTTATGCAATATCCTTATATCAGGAATATTGAAACGTGACATAACAAAAACAGTAAGACATTTAGACTAGTTTTTATCCGAACTTCTTCCCTGCTATAGAAAGAAACATGTGTTTCCAACTGGTAATACTAGATCTCACTGCATCAAGAACATAATATAAAACTTCTCTTTTTGACTTATCAATTCCTAGAGACAAACCAAGATATCTAGAAGAATTGTGTAGTTTAATTACCTAAAGGATTCTACAAATACTCTCCAAATCATGTACTGTAGTGTTATTACTAAAAAATATTGAAGATTTTTCCATATTAATCTTCTGTCTAGTGAATAATTGATACTTTTCAAAGCATTGACGAAAACATTAGCTTGATTTCATCTTTATATTCTTTGAAGTTTGCTAAAATTATGAGAGAATGCATAGAGTAGAGAAGAGATCATAATAGCGAGATTACATCCAATATATAGAGGTTGCAAGAGATAAAAAACAAATCAAGATCTAATCAAATATTTAGTTACCAAAATAACTACTACCAAATCAAGATTATATCAAATCAAAGATATCTTAACAAAATAACTAAAGTCTATCTTAACAAAGCTCCAACATACTTTTTAAAATAATTCTTTACAAATAATTTCATGTTTACATTTAATTTTCATTTATAACATTTTTAAATATTTATGCATAAATACATTAAATAATTATTTACTGTTTGTAGTTTATTCATAATTAATTTACTATATAAGAAACTCGAGCCCAAGAGTGCATTCTTCAAGCAGTAAATTCACAATTGCACAAAACCCCCGCACACACTGCGTGAGACTGAACCACCAACCAGTATCCGCCGCCGCAACGCTAGAGAATATGGGAAGAAGCGATGACTCGATAAGCAGACGGCGGAGCAAGAAGATCAAGAGAAAGCAAGAAAACAAAGTGGATCCTTCTTCGAAAGTATCAGCTCGGGTTGCTGCCATTATCGCCGCCAAGAAGCGCCGCCACACCGGCAAACGCCGCATGTGTCAGGTCCCTTTTCAGATTCTTCCCGCTAATATTGTTATTTTCTCTGTTCACGGCTAGATAAATTTCTATCCTTATGTTCTGTTATTAGAAATAATTCTGAGAAATCAATATTGATTTGATGGATGGACATTCAATTCCTTAGATCTTTAGCTATAACAAACTAATTTAACTTTTTCCCTCCATTCAACTGTGTAGTTAGTCTTTAGCTTAAGAATACTTTCTTTTTACACAGGGTATGTGCTTCAGTCTTCCAACACCTGAGGACCCCTTCAATGATAAACAGGGTAAGACTGATCCCCCACGGAAAAGGAAGAGAAGTTCCAAAGAAAATAAGAAGCTTGAGGACGAGATTCCTAGGTTAAACAAAGAATCTCTCGACAAATTGGGGTTTGGCAATACAGAAAATGGAAAATCATCATTGGTTTCGTCTACTGCCATTATGGGGCCAGAGATTGCAATTAACGTAGGGCAGCCAACATGCAAGATCATCAGTTGGGATAAAACCAAGAATTCTTGGAAAGCAGTTGATTCTGTTAGAGATACAAAGAGCCCGTCAAAATTTTTGATTATGTGCTTGAACACGATACAAAATGCCTTGGAGAAGGATGAAAGGGACCAACCTCTTTTTGCCAATGCTTGGGGAATTGAGTTCTGGAACTGTTATTGTGCTGGGAAAGATGTATTGGAGACCAATGGAGCTGGTTCGAATCTCGAGCAAATTGCTTGGTTAGCATCAACAGCTGCTGATTCCATTTCAGTGAAGGAGAAAGAGGGTGCATCGTTTAGTGGCCCGTTTCTTTTGTATTTGGTGCCATCTCAAGAAAAAGCTGCCGAGGTCTGTAACAGTTAGCTAACTGCCTTCTTCTTTACGTAATGGTATTGTTTGGAGTGATATTCAGTTGTTGTTGTTGTGCCCCTGTCTCATATTTTGGTCTTGGGTATGTATTGGATCTTATTTTTTGGGGAAATAAGATCTCATCCTTTATAGGTCTTGCATTTGTAATTAGACTCCAAATTGACGGAAGGCTTTCCGTTTTGAGAATCCTTAGAGTACCATGATATCTGAATTTTATCTTCCCTGGGGTATGAAGTTTCCTTAAAAAGATGTTTTGATTAGATGTTATCTGTCTGGATGATTTATTTATGCTGTGCCACATGACTAATAGGTTCGCCAAATATGCAAGCTGCTTAAAGCACATGGAATTCATACAGTGAGCTTGCATTCTGGTGCTGCCCTAGATCATCAAATTAATGGGTAAGCATTCAATTAAATAGTTTCTTTTGTGAAGTAATAACGGGCCTATTGAGACTTTCTTTTTCTCCTTCATTAGTTCTGTTCTTGCATTTGTGGTTTCCACAAATCCTCGTTCATGGCATCTTATTGTTTTGTGTGTGTGTAAATTTACTCAAGTAGTCAAGGGCCATGTAACAGAACTTTGAAGTTTCAATCTTGTGGAGAAGATAAATTAATCACTTCTGAGCCATTTGAAGTTAGTATGTCCTGTTTGGCCTTTGGCGATTTTCTTAACTTGTTGGCCATGTTACATTTGACAGTCTGAAGTCTTGTGAACCAGAGTTTGTTGTCTCCACTCCCGAGAGACTTTTGGAGCTTCTCAAATTAAGGGCTATTGATATATCTGGAGTTTCATTGCTGGTAATTTCGAATTAGTTTTCTCCTGTTTTCGATACTTGTCCAGTCATCATGTGATGTATATATTGTTTTAGTAGCCGGTATACTAAGTAATTGGATAAAAAATTCATAAAGGCCGGTAGTAGCTGAATTAAAGCAAATCCGATTTCATTGTTTATGTCTGCCACATTGTGGTTCTTTGGCTGCCTTTTAAAATTTTGCACTTGTTTCTATAACGTCAGGGTTCTTATATTTTTGTCATGGTTATTTCATGTGTAATTTTTTTTTCTTTTTTTTTTTGCCTAAAATGGGGTTTCCCCAAATGGTTGACATCCTTAGTTACTTAGTCTTTTTATTTTTTTCATGATTACAGGTTATTGATGGACCAGAAGGCACTTTTAAAGGCGCTTTCTTCGATGCAATCAAGTCTACAAGGCAATTTATTTCTGAAAATCTTCAAACTGTTTGTTTTCTATGATGGCGCTAATAAGTCGTCAGTCTCTTCCATACGAAGGCTGTTGGGAGTGACAAATCTGCATACAATCCAACCGTATCTCCAGAGATAGCTGGAGTGCCATAATCATTTAGCTTTCGATTAGCCAAACTTTTAGCAGTTTCTTTTATACAATGGAACAGTATTTGCCTCGCTATTGGGGTGGACTTGAAATTGAACTTTTAAGGTTAATGTACTGCTTGTAGAACCATTTTTTCAACATAGTATGGATTCAAAATGTTGATTTACCCTAATCGACTGCATAACTCCGACGTGACTTGTACACATTGAAAATCGAACACTTGTGCAAATAACATAATAAACACCAGATAATTATCAGTCCCTTGAAGTGAAAAAAGCAAATTAATTGGCATTGTGAAAAACTTAACTCATCTTCAGAGCGGTATGAAAATGACTATTTTCTCATATTATAGAACACACAAATTTGTTTGTTAATTGCTAATTGCAAGAGTATCAGGAAAAATTGTTAATTGCAAGAGTTTCATAATTAAGCATAAAACTTTATTCAAACATTTTCTAATGCATTACGAAAAAATAGTGTGCACTAAATGATTTGGTGGAATTTCCAACAATAAAGATCACACTTTCATGAACACACGAGGGCAAAATCACGGGTGCCACTTCAGATCATAAAAATTAGAATGACAAAAAATGACAACGTATTCAGATCTTAAAAATTAGCATGACAAAACTTGACAACGTAGCAAGACAATGTCGCATACACTAACAAGGCATAACATTTTAAGAGGCAAAAACATTCAAATACTTAATCCAGGGTCAAGAAAATATAACTGAGTTTGCTAATTGAAATACAATATTCCGTCTAATTTATAGCAAGAACAACGAAGGATAGAGTCCAAGTGCAATCCCAGCAAGTGCATGCTCAGAACAGAGAGGTTCCCTTGCCCTTCTTATCTCCACCAATCTCAAAATGCTTGCACCTCTGCAAAAACATGCCAGCAGAATTAAATCCATCAGCACAAACATAGACGCAAGACCCAATCGTGAACAAAAAGTAAAACAAACAAACCTTGATAGGGTGTTGTGAAACATGCTTGCAACCTTGGCATTGCAGCCTCAGCACAATCTTTTTTGTCGTTTTTGCCTAAACAGAAAACATGATGAATTAATATAACAAATCCAAAAAAATCCCACAAGACTTATATTCAAACAGCCTTCTAATATTCTACTACATCAGTCATCTGGCCATTCACAAGGAAATTAATTAAACTCACCTTCTTGTGGAAAACAGGCTTTGTTTGACCTCCATAACCCGACTGCTTTCGGTCATAACGGCGCTTACCTTGAGCAGCCAAGCTGTCTTTGCCTTTCTTGTACTGGGTGACCTTATGCAAAGTGTGCTTCTTGCACTGCTTTGATTTGCAAAAGGTCTTCTTTGTCTTTGGCACGTTCACCTGCAAACACAAGGTTATGAACAAAAACTAAAGAAAAACCGAGTGAACGAAATCCCGCAGCCATATTACAAAGTTCAATCCAGACAAACAAGTGTGAGAAATGAAGCCAGGTTATTATTAATAAATAGCCTCCAAATTGCAGGTGTTCTACAGATGTATTTTGGACTGATTTTTGCAAACTGATCTATAGCAAACAAAACTAAGAAGACCATTTTTGCAAAACTGAATATAACCAAATAATGAATGAATAAGCAGGAGCACAAGCAGAAAGTATCATGAAACAAAGTGAGCAGCCTCAGAGTACATTAACCTCCGTCTGCAAAGATGTCAATGATATCCAAGAAACTGATAACGAATAGAATACCAGAACAAGCCATATGCTTAAAAAATCTGGTCAAGTCAAAATATTATTTAACCTCTTTGAAATCTGTTTATCTATCATCCTAATTTTATTCTCCTTTAGAAGATAAAAAATAAAAATAGCATAGAAACTTGAAAAACAACAGTGCTCTTATATGGGTCATTCCCCGTTCTCTGGGAACTAAAAGTAAAACTAAAGTTTCTCAAAGCCCAGATCGCTTGACACTAATGAAATATGTTTGCAAGCGCTGAAGCAATCAAAATACAGAATCGCACTCACAACCCACACCATACCCTTATTTTATCTAAATCGAACTTATGGCGGCCCTAGACCTAACATTTCTAGTACCCTACAGCTTTCGGAAGTATCACAACTGTCCCTACAACTACAAACGCGACGATAAGAATGAATTACACCAAATACACAGCAACGAAAATGGCATAGGAATAAAATAGCACAAATAAAGAAAAAAAAAATGGCGCATCCGAAGATAGAGGTTAACCATGGCGGACGGCGAAATTAAATGCGTAGGAGAGCTGTATTTGATCTCCTGCAAATTGAAAACCCTAGGCAGTGCTGAAAAGTGTTACGTTATATATTAGAAAAAATTTCAGAACTAAGCCACAAAATCGATTTTACCGTGGAGCAATCGGATGGCTTGACTTATGAAGTTATCCATAGTTATTTATAAATGCTGTATTGACACGTGTCTTGCATCAAATACACATTTGACACATGTCAGTCCATAAAATTATGAATGACTCATAAGGGAGCCATCCGATGCCTTTATAGAATTATCGGACACCGATCAGGGTGTTCAGTTTCCGTCTACATTGTAAACCATAATTTATATTTTATAAGGAATTAATCATATGATCTTACTGTTTCAGACCTGGAACCATATTATATACAGTGTTAAATAAAAGAACAATGTTCGCTTAAATAAATTAACTACAAACATCTACTCGACTAATAACATGAAACTCATTCAAAATGGAATTGTTGAGTAACACAAAGCCAAACTTTTACAGTATACTCCAACATCACCCTCTTCGATTTGCCATGTGGACGGCTAGTCGGATCTCCCGAATCTCACACAAAAACTCACGTTTTTCTCTCTTCCCTAAGCTCTCAGTTTTTTGGTCGATTTCTAGCTCTAAGAATCGAGAAACTCACGTGTGTGTTGTGTTGGTGGAGGCTAAGAACTTGGTGTATTTATAGGCTAAAATAAAAACCCTAAGGAGGTACTAAATATGAGTTTCCCCAATTGTGGATCCAAATGTGGCCCTAACACACTCCTTACACAAATCGAATAATATTAAACGTCACTATAATAAAATCACTGAACTCCCCATTTAGCACCCAGATTACAGTATTTCGTTTCTCTGCTAATTGCTCGAATTACCTTCTCATTTTTAAGATCTAACATATGTTGATTAATTTAATTACTTACAATATAATTAATCAATTTCTTCATCCGAAACGAGTACCACTCAAATCTTTATTATTATGTCGGGAACAAATCCGCCTACAGAGCTTAACATAACAATCCTTCTCATTTCGGGGAGGTCATCAACCTGGCGGACCGGGACCTAGTGACCGTAAACAATCTCTATCAGTCATTACTTACTGAAATATGGAGTCTGTCGACCTACCGGAATAAGTCTCACCCATAGTAAATCAAACAAGTAAGTACCGAATACACATGCCCATTTTTATTGCTTTACGAGTTAAGAGAATGTACCAATTACTGATGTCTAAATTATTTACTTGATTAGTGTAAAATAATTTTATCATCCGTAGGTCCGTTCAATACATTCGAGATGTACCAGTGTAATTCATTAGGTCCTGTTGGGAGCTTTTGAGTCCTGTGTTTGCTAGATCTAGTGTCGGTTCTAGGCGACCTACGGTTCTGTCTTCCCACTAAATTCGACTTTATAGTTGCTTATGTCAGCTCTTTTACTGTCTCTAAATGTAAATGTTTGTGTTATTTATAAAAGTTTCTATCTTTTCGAAAATAAAAAATTATAGGTATTTTATTTGACATTTTGTGAAATTTTAAAAGTATTTATCATTTATATATATCACAGAAAGAAAAATCGACCTAGTTGGCCGTCAAAGCGTTGTCCGATTTGCATGATTCAGCTGAAAAATTGGCCAACTAGGCGGTGCTAGGCGGGCTCGGCGGGCAGGTGGCTAGGCGGCGCCTAGGCGAGCTCGGCGGTAATTTTTGAATATTTTTTTTTAAATACTAATTACATGATTTTGTTATCATGTTTTCCTTATAATATATTAATACTAGACTTAGGTGAGTGGACTTATTATAAGTTGAGATTTTTTTATTTTGTGGTTCGTGAAAATAAATAAAAAAGAAGGCATTTAATCGTGATTTCTACCACGCCTAGACGCTCTAGGCGACAGACCCCGGTCGAGCGCCTAGTAGGCGCTTAACAAACTCTTTAACTAGTTGAGCGCCTAGCGAACGACTAACGACTTCTAGAATATTGATATATGATGAATATCTTATAACTATAAAAAAACTCTTTAAAATTTTAAATAAGTAGCAAACAATATGTTGAAAATTTTAAAATATAGCAAAGATTCTTAAAAATCTTGAATGAATGGATAACCGGTGTAGGAAGGAAAAGCCGTTTGGGGGAAGGCAAGAAGTAGCCACCGCTGTGGATGGTTTCCATTCATTAGTCAATTTATTGGGATTGCGATTCCTAGTAATTTTTTAAAACCTATAGATATCGTAAGTATTTATGACAGATAAATACGAAAACAAAAAAGTGGCAAAAACAGATGAGCACGAAATTGAATTTCCATATAGAATAGATGAGGTCCCCACCGCACCACCCCTGACCCTTTACCTTCCCCAAAACTGCTGCTTATTATCACCTTTCCAGTACAGTCCCTTCTCTACCGTGGCAATGTAAATTGATTTCAAAAACCAACCCAAGAATTTTGCAATTTTTTTTTTTTTCCTTTTATCAAAGAGAAATAAAGAAAAAATAAAAATCCAAAAGTTTGGATACTTTCTGTACCCGCCGGTGGCGCATGCAAAGCCGGCGTTAATGGGTTCGAGCCCGACGGCGGCGGGGTGGCGGTGTAAGGGAGGCGGGAGGAGCAATCGGAGGGCTGGGAATGCGGAGGCGCGTGGCGCGTGGTGTTATTTGGGGCTTTGTTTGGTGGTATTGGGGGCGATTGGAGGTTTATATGGGAGGTACGTGCTGCCGCCTAACGTGCGGCGGGGGAGTGGGTGCCGGGAGGATGACGAAGGCTCCTGGGCGGTCGGCGTCTACTACGGAGAGTCTCCCTTTTCTCTTAAACCCATTGAGGCGGTAATAATTTACCTTTTTTTTGTCAAAAAATAATTTACTCTTTTAAGTATATGTGTGCGTGTGTGTGTTCTTTTTTTTTTTCCGGTT